ATGTATATATATATATCTACTTTTTTATTTTCATTTTATATTTAATTTATATTAAGTTTATAACTTTTTTTTTATTCCTTTTTTTTTTTGCTAACTATAATAACCCTGATTTATCACTCAAATCACTTGCACAAAAGAAAAAAAAATTCAATAATTTCACGATAAAACACCTTTGCTCACACTTTATAGACATAATCTTACATGTTTTTACAGATGGCCTGATGTCCTCTACTAGTGTTCACATTTACATTTCTATAAATAACAGTGAACAGTTGCAATGATGCAAATGACTTTACTTTTGTTAAAAATTCCAATGGATTTATAAATAAATTACTTGTAAAGAGGGTATTTTGCCATTATTTGCATGCATTGCATGTTAACACGTAAAAATGAGACACAAATATACATGTACTGTATAGTCAAATTTGTCCAAGAATACTTGAAAAACACACTTAAGTACAGCACCAAAGTACAAATACAGACCACAGCATATCAAGACAAAAAAAAAAAATTCTAATCACAAGTCGTCACATGATGCAGTGCTTACCACAGCCTTTCTCATCACTGTTGTCGTTGCAGTCGTCGTTCCGGTCACACACCTCGCTGAGAGGTATGCAGTTTCCGTTGTCACACCGGAAGTTTCCGGGAGGGCAGGTGGGTGCTGGAGTCCTGCACAGGTGATCCAGCTCGTCAGATTCATCCCCGCAGTCGTTGTCCCCGTCACAGACGAAATCCTGCGAGACGCAGCGGCCGTTCTGACAGGTGAACTGATGCTGTTGGCACGGCTGATAGGTGCAGCCCTGCTCATCACTGCTGTCTCCACAATCATTACGACGGTCACACCTAACAGACACAACAAACACAGCAGGGAATTATGGGAAAAATTGCTCTTTTTCACTGGAATCAATCACCAAAACAAAGTTTGTATAAGCACTGCAAATTCTTTTATAATTTTATTTATAAAGTTATGAACATATAAAAAGTGGTGCTGTCTTTCATAAATAAAAATGGAAATACTCAATTAATAAATAACTTAAAATTATAAAAAAAGAATTAAAAAATAAATTAAAAGTATTAAAATTTAATTAATTACAATTAAAATAATACAATATAATACATTATATAACACAATATGATACATTATTATTATTATAATACAATATAATGCATCATCGAATTTCACCCTCTTTCATTAAAAACTAAATAAAACTAAATAAAATTAAAATTTAATATATTTAATACAATGCATTATACAATATATACAATGCACAAATAATATAATGCATTTATTATTATTATTATTATTATTATTATTATTATGCAATTTCACCCTATTTAATAAATAAAAATTGTTTTTTTACTATTTTAAAAATTACAATTGAAATTATACAATGCATTTTCTAGATTTATAATAATAATAATAAATTATTAATGTTATTAATAACAATAAAAATAATTCACAATGTTTATGTCTTTGCATTTTATTATAATGTAAAAAAATAAGACAATATTTAAAAATAGGTTCTGCATATCAAAAAAAAAAAAAAATCAGCCATAAAAAACAATGCATTTGCAAACTTTTTTGCTCTAAATATAATTCTAACCTGTAGGAGTTGCGGATGCAGAGGCCGTTGTTGCAGGTGAATTCGTTGGCAGAGCAGGATCTGCGAGTGCAGTTCTGGTGCTCATCGTATGCATCCGAACAATCTGCATCTCCGTCACACACCCAGTCCCGCGGGATACACTTCCTCTGAGGAGGCCTGTTATTTATACAGGTGAACTCCTGAGGAGAACAGGTACGGTTTGCTGTGTGTGTGAGACAAAACAAGAGCACAGAATTTAAAAACGACACTTTTTGGCACAACATTTATGTTCAACCCAGCATAATATATTTGTGCACAAACTGTGTGACTGTGAATTCCATTAGGGTTCTGTTGCAAAACCCTGTAAGCCGCCTACCTAGACAGCACTTTAAGGCATCATAGACTTCCAACGTGAAAGCTGTTCCAAACAGAAGTGGATTTGCTGCTGTCTCATAAGATACCTTGTTTTGACCAGATTCGAATGCATCCTTCATGTAGAAAAGAACAGAATAATGGGCTGCGACAAGTTCACTGAAAAAGTTCCTCCAAGATGTCTTACGAAGTGAGACTGAGACTTATTTTATATAGTCTCACTATATTATATAATTATACTACTATGTAGACAATATCAAATAATTAATCATTTCATTATTTAAAAAAATATTAAATATGAATTGTTTAACAAATTATTTACATAATTATGTTCATAATTTAATAAAATGATACATACTGACTTAACCCTCTGGTGCTCCTTATTTCAGAGTCACACTTGTGGTCTTCGCGGTCAAAAGTGACCGGACACCTGAAATTTTACTCCCCCCACCCCAGTTAAATCAATGTAATATATTTTTGTTCAATAATATTTTTTCTTTTTTTCTTTTGTATTTTGAGAGAATTTCATGGTACTAATTAATATTTATGCAATAATTATGATAATTTTTTCCCATTGAAAATAATATATATATTTTTTAATATTTTTATATTACTTTTCAATTAAGGCAGTATTTCATGTTAAATCAGAGATAATGCCTTTAAAATCCAATTTTTGAAGCCAGATTAGTGCCATCTGGTGGGAGTAAAATAAGAAAAGCATCTGCAATTCCATGGTTTAGCCACTAGATTCCTATATAGCTCTATATAAAAGGCTTATAAATGCTCTAGTTGTTTTTATATATATTTAGACATTCTCAAAGACAACTTTTTGTAAAGGTTTAGATTTTTTGGGGGTTTGAAATGTTGATTTGAAGCGTCAGTTTTTGCATTATTATTACTACAGTCAAACCTGAACACAGAGAAAGCATTTTGTTACACAAAACATTAAAATACTACAAAAATGTAACAAAAACGAACAGGAATGTTTTATCTCCATATTTCAAACGTGATAAACACTTTTATATCACTTCCGCTGACTGTCATACACGGAAGCCATTCCGGCAGATGACGCATGACGTCGGTGTTGCATGATTAGTGATGAACGCGGAGAGACAACAAAACAAAACGCCGGTCACAAATTAGAAGTACAAACCGAAGATTTGCAAAGAAAAATGTCGGAGGATTTCGATATAAACCAAGAGGAGACTGGTTTTCCTTTGCTAAAGTAAGGAAACTTTGCTTCCTTTGCTCCTATAAACAAACTCGCGAGACTAGTATATCTCAGAGGCGCGCGCGACGCATACGTCCTACATCATCCGCCGGAACGGCTTCCGCATATGACAGATAGCGGAAGTGAGAGCAAAGTGTTTATTACGTTCGAGGGTGAGTAAAACACAAGCCAATTTTCATTTTTGGGTGAACTAATAACCCTTTAATTCTTCTGGGTCTGTTTTGATTTCAACCTCTTATTTCAGTTTTCTGACTCGTTTTGGCTATATGGTTATAGCCATACCAATTCATTTGAGTGTGTATAATTGTGTATGTGTGTGTGTATATGTATGTGTGTGTGAGTGGATGTGTCTGTTTTGCACTCTTGATGTTTTAGAGTGTAACCCCTTCCTTGCTGTCCACTTTTTTACTGCATTGTAGTTGAATTATTGCTTTTATTTTACATATTTGCTGTGTTACAGTCACACCAGTTCATAGGTGTGTGTGTGTGTGTGTGTGTGTACACGCGTGTGTGTGAGTGGATGTGTTGATTTTGCACTCTTGATGTTTTAGAGTTTTAATTTTATTTTTTATAAAAAAAAGTATAATATAAATATATTAATATAAAATATTTTTTTAAACAATGAAAATAAAAAAAAATAAAAAAAAGTAAAAATGAGCACAGACTGAATAAAAATGGACTATTTTACCAATTATTTGTGTAGACTATGCATTTTTATGTAACATGTTGTCGAACAACATGTTAACATCAAGGTTTAGTGAAAACAAAACCCAAATCTCAATACGAACTCAAACTTTTCATCAAATTCTTTCACATTATCTAAACTATGCTATCCACATTCTGCTTACAGCTCTATACTCCAAGTGTATGTCAACAGTTATCTCATTTGTGTCTGTTTTTACTTCTCCCATGGACATTTTTTAGACAAACTTGACAGCTCAATTGAGTACTCCATTAAGTTACTGATCAGCTATGGAAGAGCAACCTCTGGAGAGAACAGAGAGAGTCTGAGAGCTGTCAGCTAAACACATCCACAAAGCAGTGAGTGAGGCAGGAGAAATTAGGAATGCAGACTCCTTACACTGAGATCCCACACCCAACCACCAACACTACCTCACTGATGAACTGAGGGAGAGGAGGAGAAGAGGTGCAGAGAGGAAGGACTAGAGAAGAGAGATGATACAAGAAGACTAAATATAGCCAAAAAGTCGAGGATGAAACAATAAAGTTGTGTAAGCACTTTCACACAAGAACATTTGGTTATGACCAAAGTCCAGTAGATGTCAGAACAGAGTTATTACTGTAAAACTACAACTATTAAAATATTTTTGTTAACAGAACTCAATCGGAAATAAAATAAAATACTGGATGAAAAACTAAATGAAAATTAGAAATATTGCATTCACAAATAACAAATAAATTTAAGTTCAAGCACTAAAATTACTAACTGCAAATAAATAAAAACTAAAGCAGAAATAAAAATAAAACTGAAATAAAAATAAAAATTAAACCTAAACAGTAATATCTGAATAAATGAATGAATTAATAAATAAGTAAATAAATGGCAAAGCAAGTTATAAAACTAAAACTGAAATAAAAATCAAACCTAAATAGTAATACAGTATCTGAATGAATGAATGAATGAATGAATGAATAGAAAAATAAATGGCAATGCACACAATAACATACTGAAAAGCATACAACAGTTTGTTCGTGTGTCTGAAAAGGTGGTCTGGGGTTCATACATAAAAACAATGAAAATAAAAATGAATTACAATAAAAACAATACATGTAAATATAATAACAACAACAACAACAATAATAATAATTTACATTACATAATGTTTTTTTCTTTCTTTTTTTTGCTGTTGTAGTCCAACGGCTATGAAGTTATTAGTATGAAAAAATCAGAAATTGAAAAATGGGTGCATTTGGAAATGTGGTGAGGGATTTATAAATAAACATGATATAAAAATGATAAACCAAAAATTTGAATAATACATTGCCATTTTTTTCTGCATATTGGTTTTTGGAAACTACCAAGAGCTTGTAACACTCCAAAGAGAAAGGAAAACTTGAAATCGCATCATATGACCCCTTTAAGTAAATCTGTATCAGTCATAAAAAGCAAAATCTATCACTTCCTATAGTATATGCACTTTTGCAGCTGTTCTGTGCGTAAACTTTTGGTGGTAAATCCAAAGAGACAAATATTTCAGTAACATGTTCCAAAAGTACATTGTGAAATGAGACCTGTGATTTGGGTTTGGACCAAGCAATACTGACCACAGTTGTGTCTCTCGTCCTCGTCGCTTATGTCCCCGCAGTCGTTGTCTCCATCGCAGATCCAGGACGAGGCGATGCACCTTCCATCATCGCAGCGGAACTGGTCGGAGTTGCAGGTCCTCACCGTGGTGGCTGCAGGGATGAAACACACGGCAGTGAGAAGAGCCACCTGCCCGAGGGCCATGTCTCACTCGGATCTCAGAGGAAACTGAGGAACCTGCGGCCTATGTAATCCATTTAACCATTAAATCCCATCCTGAGCAGCCAGAAACGTGGCTGTGCTGGTGCTTGGATTCCACAGGCAGAGGAATTCTGGGAGAGAATAAGCATTCCTCTCTCTAGTGTCCCGCTTGAACAAAAGCCACCGAGGGGTGCTGTGATTAACGGGACAAAAGCGAGAGGATGGGGCAGTGTGTGTGAGAGGGGAGGGGGCAGAGACTGTCAAAGGAAGGGCCGGTGTGTGTGTGTGTGTGTGTGTGTGTGTATGAGGGCTTTTCTTCTGCACGTCACTTTGGAGGAATGTGACACACAATAGATGGCCGGACTGACCGCTGGCATCACAGACACACACCCAAACACACCACACAGTAACACACACTTCAGATACCACTCGACTGTCATTAAGAAGAGCAAACCTTTCTCATAATATTGTATTGCATTTTTAACTTGTATTGTTATGTTATTTTACTGGTCTGTTATGACTTGCTTGTGTTGTAGTTTATAATACTTTTTTTCTATAATTCATTTCTACAGCATGCACATGGGTATATCAGACTTGTTTAGTATTCAAAAAAACCTATATATTACTTATTAAAATATATTTACAAGAAAAACTGCTTGAAACATTTTGGTCTGAAATTCCAAATTCGGTTTGAAAATTGTTTTTTATTAAAATTATTTTAATTTGGGACATACCACAAATGACAATATCCACAGTAGAGTAGTGAATTTATTTAAAATTCAACCCTATTTTCACTACCAACTACTGTATCTAACACACTACCATTAGAAGATTTTTTTTAAAGAAATGTATACTTTAATTAAAAAAGGATGCATTAAATTGGTTAAAAGAGACAGAACACATTGCTGTTCTTTTGAACTTTCTATTTATCAAAGAATCCTGAAAAAAAACAATGTATCACTGTTTCTACAAAAATATGAAGCAGCACAAATGTTTTCAACATTGATAATAATTAAATATTTATTGAGCTGCAAATCAGCATATTAGAATGATTTCTGAAGGATCATGTGACACTGAAGACTGGAGTAATGATGCTGAAAATTCAGCTTTGATCACAGAAATAAATTACATTTTACAATATATTCAAATAGAAAACAGTTATTTTAAATTGTAATAATATTTCACAATAATACAGTTTTTACTGAATTTTTGATCAAATTTATGCAGCCTTGATGAGGAAAATAGACTTAAAAAAAAAAATTATTTAAAACTTTAACTGACCCCAAACTTCTGAACAATAGTGTATGATATCTAATATAATAAGAAAACTTTTGGGAAACATCAATTGTTCTTTCTGATTTAAGTATATATTAAATTAATGAATGCAAAAAAACATAAATCAAAACCTTATTGTACCTTATTGATGTTTGGTGATTTACATACATATACACATACACACTATTCACAAATAGAACCACTAAATGTCTTTCTTGAAAAAGAAGCTCTCAAACTCACACAAACTTTTGTTCTTTAGTTAGAGCATTTGATTGCAGACATACTGGTCTGAATTACTACATTATAAGTCTTTTTCTGCCAACTGAGTTACTTATACACAACTTCTGCCTCATCTTTCCACTTTTTGACTGCATGCATCACCAGTGGAGCGTAAAATGAGGGGGGGGGGGCTGTGACAGACATTCAGTCCATCACCATGGTAACCAGTGAGGCAGGATACTCATCATTAACTCACCACCCAAAAACATGGGCAACGGTTTCCCTTTATAAACACAGCTTCATCCTCATATTACAGTGTTTTCATAGTTTTCTCCCCAGTATAGTCCAAAATAACTTTCTGCCACATATACAGAATGAGCGCCAGATAACTTATAGTGGTATATATTTATTTTTAATATGTTATGTGTGGTACTTACTACAGGTAACGGGCTCATCAGAACCATCGCTGCAGTCTGTACCACCATCACAGTACCAGTGTCCGGGAATACAGCGTCCGCTCGAGCAGCGAAACTCGTTCTGGGAACAAGTAGATGTGGCTGAGGAGAAAACAAACCAGAGATAAACCAGAAATGAACTCAGCATCCCCAGGTGGACCCACTCACATACATGGGTCACTAATTTCACTGATATTACAGGAAGGGCAAGTTGAGCAACAACTTTGGCTCTAAAAGCAACAGGAAATTATTAAACAGTTACTCATCTAATTCCACACTAAAGGAGAAACAAACAATGAAAATATTATTATTACACATTTTGTCCTTCTTACATTTATTTTATGTTTTTCTTCTGCCTTTTATGTGAGTATGATTTAATATTATTTAAATACCTTTACAGTTGTTTTAATAATATATTGATCAATAATTATTCAAAATTATTGATCAAATAATCTAAATTATTGATCAATAATTTCATAAAAAATTCATCAATAATTTAAGTAATTTAGTTATGTGCTTTTGTCACTTTTTTTAAATGATACTTTTTGTGTTTAATTTATTTTAATTCCAGATTTACAGTAGATCTAGGTTTAATTTTTATTAGTTTCCAGCTAGTAATTTTAGTACTTCAACCTATTTCAGTTAGTTGCCAAGATAACATTTCTAATTTTTATTTAGTTTAAGTTTTCATCTAATCATTTTATTTTATTTTATTATTTTATTTTATTTTATTTTAAGCACACTAAAGAAGGCCTTTTTGGTGATGAAAGTAAAATAAACTTTATTTTATTTTTTAATAAAAGTATTTTATTTTCAATTAACAGAAATGTTTTTTAGTAGGTTTAGTTTTTGTTTTAGTTAACGCTAATAACTAAAATAGAACTTACTTTTTTCATAATTATATCATTAATAATAATAATAATTATTTTTTATTATTATTGCATTTAATACAATAATAATAAAGTTTTCAATTTTACATGACATTAGATATGCGTGGCAAACTAAAAGACATTAAGCTATAACAAATATCAGGGCATTTATAAACCTAACTATGTTCCCACAGGACAGAGGGAGACAGTGGGACAGGATAACTCACCACAATGCGTTGGGCTCTCGTCACTGTTGTCGCCACAATCATTATCTCCATCACACAGGTACGAGCGCGGGATGCAGATGTTGGTGGTCTGGCATTTGGTGTGCTCTGGCTGACATGTCCTCTCAGCTGCGTTTTATAACAAGGATCCATTATGGATCACTTAAAATCAACTATTCTGTATTATATAAATGCTCATAAGCTGTAGGCTGTTTATACAGTAGTTGACAAACAACCTAGCAACTTGTTTTGGTAACCATGCAAATGCACTTACCGCAGTTCTGCTCATCCGAGGTCCCATTGTCGTAGCAATTGTTTATTCCATTGCAGACGTATTCCCGTGCAATGCAGCGACCATTATTGCAGGTGAACTCAGTGTTGGAGTCGCAGGGGCGGAATATGCAGCCCGTCTCATCACTGTTATCCCCGCAGTCATTATAGTGATCGCAGCGGTAGTGATATGGCACACAACGGCCATTTCCACATGTGAACACAGTGGGCTCGCAGGTGTGAAATGCTGCCATGCACAAAAAAAAAAAGATAAATTTTGACATTTGCAGTAAGAGCTGAATGAACTAACAGGAACTACTGGAGCTCACCGCCTACTTCCTCTACCTATCTCTCTATTTCAGTTTACCTGAGAGTGAAATGAATGCTGCTGCTTGTGGGACTGCATGCGAGAGAGAGAGAGAGAGAGAGAGAGAGTGGTGCATTGTGGAAGAGGTTAGTATGTGTTTATGGATGGTTATTAAATTTTATGTAGTCTAATGCTCTGTTCTAAATCCTAGTAAGCTGCCTTGGTGTCTACTGACACAATTGATTTCAATAGAATTTTCCATTAGCATGCTAAGCTTATAATCAAAATTAACTGCTTTGATGGATTTGTGCATGAACCCAGCTAACAAGGGACATTCTCAGAACTTTCTGGAAAAGTTCTCTCAAAGTTCTAAATAAACTAGGGCGGCAAAACGATTAATAGTGATTAATCCCATTAAAAATAAGTTTATGTTAACATACTATATGTATGTGTGCTGTGTATAATTATTATGTATATAAATACACACATATATGTATATATTTGAAAAAAATATTTGTATATATATTTATACTTGTATATAATTTATATTATATATAAATATAAATATTTTATATGTAAATCTAACATATTTTTCCTTAATATATACATGCATGTGTGTGTACTTATATATACATAATAAATATACACAGTACACACACACATATAGTATGTAAACAAACTTTTATTTTGAATGCGATTAATCACGATTAATCGTTTTGCAGCCCTAAAATAAACATTCTCCCAGTAACATTATTAGAATGTTTGTTCAAAGTTATCTGGTCTTTAACAATGTTCTAAAAATGCTAGCACAAAAAAAATATTTATACATCATTCATGGAACTTTTTTTGAAACATTTTATTTGGACGTTCGCTGTTTTTTAAATGTTACTATGTGTTTCAGAATGATTAAAGAACGTTCAAAAATAACATTCCCATAATGTTTGCAAAATTAGAAAATAGAATGTTCCCTTAACATTCGGATACTAAAAAACAAAACAAAGCAAAGCAAAGCAAAGCAAAACAAACAAAACAAAAAGCAAAACAAAAAAACAAAACTAAACAAAACAAAGCAAAGCAAAACAAAAAAACTAAACAAAGCAAAGCAAAACAAAACAAAACAAAAACTTTCAAGCGTTCTTAGAACATATTTTTTTGTTAACTGGGTAGCTTGTCAAATAATGCATTATGCCATTATCTTCTGCAAAAGGATGAATGCAGTACTGCTTTAGGATTTGGCCCAAAGACAGTATAATCATGTTGCCTATGTAGGCAGCACTCTAGATTTTGGAACAGAGCTTTTAGCTACACATGAAGAGAGGTAAGCAAGAATACACACCAAAAACGAAATGACTCTTGGATCCTGGAGCAAAAGATTTGAACAGATTGTGCAAGCAATAAAAAGCAAGAAGAAACATGTTAGTGAAAGATTGCGCTGCAGTACAGGAGAGGAAAATTAATCCATCGGCAAACAGAGACACTCACAAGAGATTTGATTTTTAACATTAGGCTTGCAGTTTAGTCATGCACAAATATAAATGTTAAGTTTAGTTCACCCTTGAAAGTGCACAAGATGTCAGTTTGGACTCTATGTGCAAGTTTGGTAAACCATATATGAAGCCGCTGGCATATATTCTGAATCAACAACCTGTGTTTACATAAAATTGCCTTCTATTCTGATTTAGGATTTCAAGTCCTCTGAAGAACATGTACAGTAAACAACAATGCATCTCACCGCAGACCCGCTCGAGTTCATCACTGCCGTCCCCACAGTCATCATCGTTGTCACATTTCCACTGGGCACGGATGCAGCGGCCATTCATGCAAGTGAACTGGCCCGACTGACAGCGTGTGCCATTGTCAGGGATACAGTGTTTGTTGTCGGCCAGATACCAGCGGCCCTCAGAGGGACACTGACACTCTGCTCCCTGAGGACCTGAAGGAAATAGTGTTGTATTTTAAAACAAAGTTCTTAATTTCATAATTTATTTCATTTATGCTTATAAAAAGGGTCATATGACGATGCTAAAAATAACATTATATTGTAATGCAATGCGTTTACGCAGTTTAAGGTTAAAAAACACATTATTTTCCACATACTGTACATTATTGTTTCTCCTCTTTCTGAAACGCGTCAATTTTTACAAAGCTCATTGTTTTGAAAAGCGAGGTGTGCTCTGATTGGCCAGCTATCCAGTGCGTTGTGATTGGCCGAATACCTCAAGTGTGTGA